AGGACTCTACTGAGGGCAACAAAGTGAGACTCTGTCTCAAAAAAAAAAAAAAAGATGGATAGGAAATTAAGCTTTTATTCAAACTTAACAATTGGTATTCATTGAAAATTAAATCATTACTTTAGTAGAATGTAGTGCTTAATTAAAGTTATTTGAAATAATTTATAAGAAAACTAAGCTTTTATTATTTTTATAGTGTTTCAGTTTTTAAAAAATTCCTTAGAAGGCATAAAAGTGAGTTCTTAAACATGGAAATAATTATATATTATAAGGTGTCACTAGGTAATGTTTATATTTATCATATAAGCTTGAAAAGTTATTCCAATGTACTTATATTTTGTTAAAAACATTACTCATTACTTATTTGGAGAAAATAAGTTCCGTGCACAGAAGGAATAGTTGTTATCTCTAGTGGATTAGCTTATATGTACCAAAACTTGAATACTTTTTTAGAATTGCTTTTGTTTCCATGCCAGTGTTTTAGTCTAACCTGTCCTTATTTTGCCTAAACTGTTCTGGCTCTTAATTGATTTCTCACTGTAGCTCCTTGTCTCACTCATACTTCTCATTGCATGTCAATGTCTAGTTGATCCAGCACTGTTTGTTAAAATTACTGTCATTTCTCACATAAAAACCAGTAATACAAATTTAATTCCTTTAATAACGGACTTCTAAATTATATTTTGGATAATCATGTTTTGCCTTTGTTATTAGTAGCCACTCTCTATTCCCTGAATATGTCATGTATATTCCTCATAGCTTCATCTTTTTCTCATGGACTGTGCTCAGCATGGAAGTTTGTATTATTCTCCCTCTCTTTTTTTTTTACATTTAAGAATATTTTATGTATTTATGTTGCAAAAATAATTTACACTTAGTAAAAATATTTCTTAGTCCTATGTTAGTCTTTTATAATCTAGTTATTGCTGGGTGTGTATCTCAGATCAGCTTACTTTAGTATGTGGTTATGTACAGAGTGGCCATAAAGTACACACTATTTTAAATTGCACAGGAACTTTATGGCCACCCCATACATCTGTGTTCTCTGAAAAACCCATCTTATCAGAATATGTAGAATCAGATGTAAGAAGTATATTGCTGGCTTCATTTCTTAAATAGTGCCCTTCACCCATTAGGGAACAGTTCTATTAAAATTTAAATAATGACTTCTTATATTCTCTGAAATAAGTTGTTGGTCATATAAATAAAATATACATTTTTTTATTAGATTTCTCTGTTCAAAATCCTGGCCATGATGGAATAGTAGGAAGTGAATTTACATTTGTCAGTTAAATAACTAGAAAACTGGATGGTGTATATGAAACACTGGTTTTCAGACATTGGACATTAGGCAGCATAGGACTGAGCATTGAGAGGAGAAACCAGTGAAGGCGAGCTCAATAATTACTCCTGCTTATTGCCTAGAAGCAGTTCAAAGGCAGCAAAAAGGAGAAAGCCAAATAGCCAGTTTTCCTATGAAGCTGAATACACAGTGTTTAGGAGGTAGAGGCAGGAGAATCTCTTGAACCCAGGAATTGGAGGTTGCCGTGAGCTGTGACACCACGTCACTCTACCAAAGGGTGACAAAGTGAGACTCTGTATCTAAAAAGTAAATAAAAGTATATAACAAAATCTTGTATTCAAGAATGTAAAATTCACAGCATCTGCTATCTGATCAAACATTGCCAGGTATGGAAAGAAGCAGGAAAATAGTAACCCATAACCTGGAGAAAAATAGTCAATAGAAATAGCCAGAAATGACAGAAATGGTGGAACAGATACATTAAAACACTTACTATAATGAAATGAAAAACACTGAGTAGAATGTCCAACGGATTGGAGACTGCAGAAGAAAGTATTACTGAACTTGAAGAGAGCAATAAAAACTACCCAAAATGTATAAGAAGTGAACGGAATGTTGGTTACCTGAATGACAATATCAATGTGCAACTGGAGTATTTGGTGGAAAGGGGAGCGAGTAAGGACACAAAGTCTTGAAGAAATAATGGCTGAAATATTTTCAGATATGGTGAAAATAAGCGTAATAATCCAAGAAGTTCAGTAAACCCCCAAAAGAAGAAATATAAAGAAAACCACTTTATGTGGCTTGGTGCCTGTGGCTCAAGTGGCTAAGGCGCCAGCCACATACACCTAAGGTGGAGGATTCAAATCCAGCCTGGACCCGCCAAACAACAATGATGGCTGCAACCAAAAAGGCGCTGGCACTGTGGCGGGTGCTTGTGGTCCCAGCTACTTGGGAGGCTGAGGCAGGAGACTCGCTTGAGCCCAGGAGTTGGAGGTTGCTGTGAGCTGTGATACTACGGCACTCTACCCAGGGGGATAGCTTGAGGCTCTGTCTAAAAAAAAAAAGAAAAGAAAACCACTTTATGACCCATCAAAGTGAGTTTGATGCAAACCTTTGATAGAAAAGCTTAAAGCCTGGAAGAAAATAACTGTTAACTTTCCTAACAAAGATACCTTTCAGAAAAGGAGGCAAAATAAATTCAGACAAAGAGAGTCTGAGAGAGCTATAGTGCAGAAAGTGTTAAAGGTATTATTGGCAGAAGGAATATGATATTAAATGGGCAGTTGGAATTACTTAAAGTAATAAAAAATGCCAGAAATGCTAAACATGTGAATAAATATAAAGGACATTTTTTTCTCATTTAAAATTCTCATTAAAAAACATCAAAACTCTTAATTGGAATGAATTAAATTCTAAATTAATTGAATTTTAAAATTTAATATAAAGTATTGTTTTTAAGTGTGGAAATAGGAATTTTTTTTTAATAGTTGGAACAAAACAGGGCATAAGAAGGGAAATGATTCTAAGTATTTTCAAAATACTCTCCGTATTAACTTGACATGCCTTTAACAGACTAGGTACAAGGAATAGGAAAAATGTCAGTGGGTATATGTATTAGGAGAGAGTCAGAGCCAGTCTGAATATTAAATATTGGTAAGTTATTTTCTTTTAAATAAAAACAACCAAAATTCCACCTTAGTTCCCATGGTCAAGAGGGGCTGCTTTTTCAACACATGGCCAGGACAAATCTAAGGAGTCTTAAACCTTCTAACAGTGAAGTATAGGATTTTCTATTTGTATGAGTGTTCATGTTTTTATCTCTCTCTGATTGTAGTTTCATAAGCATATCCTTTTAAAAGCTGTTTTGTGGGAGAGGGAGGAAAGAGCTACTAGAAACCCTGAAACCAGTCATTCTATTACCCTCAACTCTTAAGTGGCTCCCTATTTTGTGGGGTACTTTTCCAGATCTTATAGTGGTGGTTAATCTCTCATTATCTAGTAGATAATGGAAATGGAAATGATACTTATCTCTAGATAATATGGGTAGCCCCAGACTACCATGTTGGTTTTCTCAAACTTGCTTAGCAATTTTGTCCCCTATTGTTTTCCCTTAAATACCTAGAATGCTGGCATGCTGTGTCCGAGAAAAGAAATAATATTAACACTTTGGAGCACAAGTTATTCCGCTTTCTGGGAAATCTTTTTGTATAAACCTTTCAGTAAGATACTTAGGTCTTTGGTATGAAATACATAGGAAAAGAGGAACTCATATTTATTTTGGAGTGCCAGGTAGGAAGACATAAATGTATGAGAGAGAATGTAACAAAAGTTTGTAAGTCCTGTCCATTACCTTCCCTCACTCCCGTCCTGACCCAGAGGAAAAGCATAAAATTGTGCTAGAAGCCAGTTTGGTTCCACACTTACTGGTAGAAGCAGTGACTGTGCTTACTTTGCATTAGGAGCATTTCTTTCTGACTTGGTGTTATTGAAAGATGAGCATCTACCTTCTTATTTTTCGGTTGATTTGTAAACAGAACATAACCAGATAATACACTCTAGGACTAAGCAAGCAAGGGATATGCCACTGGTGGCTTTGTGGGTTCCTAATTTAAAAAGAATGAGAAGGGAGAGCTGTGCTGATGGATATTCTTCTTGAGGTTGTCTTGTCTCTGCACATTATATATGTTTTAACCTAACATTTAAGGGCATCAGGTTACTGTTTTGGAGAAGATAAAGTTACATGCTAAAGTTATAAAGAATAAAAGCTATCGAAACTAAGATGTAAGAAAATGGTGTGAATTTTCCAAAACACATGCTGACCATAGACTCTTAAACAAATATGAAGTAATTTTTATATTACCCAGTGATTGGAGATGAGTGTCCAAAACAGTTCTTTTGTCATGTGGTCTGGAACCTTGGTATAATGACAGTTTAGTGTAGAATTAAGATGAAGATCAGAATGTTTAAGACTTATTTAAAGGCATTTATTATTGGAAGTACTGAACTCAGATGCCTTTTTATCTGTGACACAACCTAGAGTCCATAGACTCTGAGTTGAAAGGTATGGCAGGGTTTAATTGTATTTTATATTTATTATGCTTAATAAAAAGGAAATGATACTTATCTGTAATGTTCTACAAAGAATAATTTGATATCTGTAGCATACTACTTTAGCTTGGATCTAAAAATAGTCTTGACCTCTTAAGTAGTGAACAGTATTCTCTCTTTATTATACTTACTACATATTAAATAGACATTTAGCCAAATATTAAACACACAGTAGCATAAAGTCAATCTGTATGTTTTTATGAGGCAGCTAGTTTTTGCTAGTTACGAGGAAGATTT